TAAGACGCCCTTCAGTTTTTAGGGTAAGGATTTTAGAAAAAAGTATCGTCTTATAGTCGGAAAAATACGGTAGCTTCTATGACCAAAAAATACAATAAAATAACTTCTAAAACAAAGTGATAACCACCTGCTACAACAGTCCTGATAAGTAAAAAGTTGATTGCTAATAATATTTGCTATGTTATAATCAAAAGAAAGTCTATTTTAAGTTAAATATATAACAAATATACTTAAGTAAGGATGATTCTCCAATTACTGCCTTTCTGGAGAACAACAAACAATAAATACTAGGTCATAGAAATGATTCGTTTTATTTCCAGTTCTAGAGACACAGGAGGGCATTTATAATATCCATGAGAGTATTTATCCCTTCTATCCATTAATGTTAGTGGTAATTTTGCTTTAGTGTTTTTTTTTAAAGAACTAAAACAGTGAGAAATTAGTCACTTAAGTCGTAGAGAAAAACCTTTTCCTGAGGGAAATAGACTTCTATGGAAAAAGTTTTGCCTTTTTTGCAAGTACAGTATTTTTCAACCACATGGAAATATGAGAACTGTTAATTCTTTGCTGTCATCTAGTGGTTTGTAAGAAAGTTGTTTTCTATTTCCACAGGATAAGCAGGAATACAACTCAAGCATTTTTTATAGAAGGCCGGAGTGACCTGAGTGCAGGTCCGTCCAACCAACCAACCAACCAACCAACCAACCATTGAAATAAACCTTAATATCTCTGGAGGGGCTATTCTGCTGGGGGCTTTTAACAAATTAGGTAGGTTTATTGTACACGGGAGTGGCATGGCCAAAAGGCTCTGCCTTTTTCCCTTCATGACCAACTGTGTTGTATCTTTGCAAGTTTTCTCAGAAATGCTTCCCTGATGTTATGAGAAGCAGAGGCAAAGGAAGAGATGGAAAATAACAGGTTTAAAAGAAACAGAGGTAGAGAGACATGAGAAAGCTGTGCAAACAAGAGAAAGGGGAAAATAAGTATCTTTAGGTAAAAACAAGAGGAATCCTGAAGATATTTTGTAACAGAGAAAGGCTATAGGTATTTGCACTGAGGAATTCTCTAGGAAAGGATATCGTTTGTTTGTCTGTTTATTTATAAATCAAACTTGTATGCCGCCGATCTCACTATATAAGTAACTCTAGGCGGCTCACACATAAAAAGCATAAAAACAGTTAAAAACACAAAACAAAGTTAAAAAGACTACAAATGGAGTTAAAAAGCGGAGACAGAATCCTCAGGGTACTAACCACCCCCAGTGTTGGGAGTCCCCATTAGATCCCCAAGTTAAAAAAAGTTAAGTCACATGATACTTCGAATCACATAAAGGAGTTAACCTCTGGCATCAGAGATCAGAAGCTCTCATTTTCATTTTAAATTAGCTCAAGCTTATCTGGATTGTCATATCCAGGCTATAAAAATCAGGATCATAACTAGCTGGAACAGAGTTAGAGCTTTCTGATTCTCTTTGCTGCCAACTAGCAGTTGTCTGAATTTTGCAGCCCAGATACAGTAGCTCTAGTGTTCAAATTTAAAAAGTGAGTGATTATTCTTTGCTATGGTATATGAAACAAATGAACTTCAGAGTTTAGTTTATGAAGTTGGCTTGTTTCCTAAATTGGGGGTGGACAAAGAGTGAATGTAGTTAAGGGTCATGGTCTAGGTGTCAGTAAGAGACGTGACTAAATAGAATTGGGATGAGAATGAGTGGTGTAAGGGCAGCCATTACTCTCCACTCCTGCTTCTCGCATACAGAGATATTTATTCCCCTACTCATCCAAAGTCCATTAGACTGTATCAAATTAAACTGCAACAAGTAGCTTCTAATCCAAACTAACTCAGATGATACACACAATATTTCATTAAATGTCAATTTCCAAGTGTGAAACTGCTGTCTTGAATGTGAAACAGGCAGTTTGAAGAAATTTGGAAGGGTTTTGAGCTGAAAACAGGGCTATTCCGTGATGTTTGAACTAGGGCAATATTTTAATTTGCCATCCACTGAATGTTTTGGTGCTTACAAAAAGTTTAAACTTGCAAATAAGTCCCATTAAAACAGAGTAGTACCCTTACTTGAAAGCAAATATGCATTGTTAATTTTTTAGATACAAGTTTTTTAAAAAGAGGGAAAACTTGAGGCTATTAGTTATTTGATATTTTGAACACTCTTGAGATTAGCTTCAAATGCAGATAATAGAAGCAAGACAATAAACTCCATAAAACATATGAACTTTATTTTTAACCAATAAATTCTGAAGTAAAATACACTTTAGCTACTTTCTTCTCTGTGGGAAGATGCTCTCCCATTTCCCAAGCCCAATTCTCATCACACAGAGAAATAATGCATAAAGATAATTCTGCAGCCATTTCCACAATTGTAAACACAAAAAGACTTGGTTTAAACTTGGAAAAATGCTACCAACAAGCAATTTTAATAGTATATGATTAAAATGGTTATAGATGCTTTACCTGCCAAAGATTCTTCATACTTTAGAATATGTTCAACCAAATTGTCCACAAGTTGAGTACAGGCTTTCTTGACAGGCTTGTATGAAGCATCCTCTTCTGATTTTAGCAACTGCAAAATAAACAAATATACTACTTAGGGCTGAATTGAGAATATAGTCTTTTGTAAAGGAATATGAAAGACAGGAATCTAATTGGGCATAACAAATATAGAATACTAATTTGAAATAATAATGGACAACATATCACCCAGAAATACATTTTAAGGAAGACGCTTTACATTAAATTTAAAGGAGGCTTTAATTGGAGGAGGGCTTTTGCACAGCTCTGGGTTGTGCGCCAGTTACGCCCTTTCCTGGATCGGGATGCCCTTTGAACGGTCACTCATGCCCTTGTCATCTCCCAGATAGACTACTGCAATGCGCTCTACATGGGGCTACCCTTGAAGAGTATCTGGAAGCTTCAGCTGGTCCAGAATGCAGCCGCGCAAGCTATTTCTTCAGACCCATATAACACCATTGCTCCGTGAGCTGCATTGGGTATGGGTTGCTTCTGGGTCCAATTCAAGGTGTTGGTTATCACCTTTAAAGACCTACATGGCATGGGGCCAGGCTACCTGAGGGACCACCTCTCCCCCACGATTTCAACCCGTCCCACCCAATCACAAAGAGAGGGCATGGTCCGGAC